GTCTGCTTTACTGCGCTACAGGTGCGGCGCGTGGGCAGGCAAGCCGCATTTCGAGACGAGCGAGATGCAGCAGAGGTCGATCAGCGCGCAAATCGAGTGTCGTCGATTGTCGTGTGTCTGATCAGCCTCAGTGGTGGGGACGGTATCCGTGTGCTCTGCAAAGGTCCCTTGACCCGAGCGTTTCTCAACGCTTGGGCCCGGTGGAGACCTGTCGGGGGACGGACGTATTTCTAGATATTTACACACCAGCACGTTTTCCCCTCCAAACACCCCCTCCTCCCCCTTTCAAAAATTCCAAAACTTCAAAACCCCAAAACTCTCGTCACCCCTTCCGATACTATGGAAGTGTTTCCTATCTAATGGCTAAGGACCCCAACCCTTAGGGCCGAGGTCCCAAGTTCAAATCCAATTCTTGGTCCTTTACGCCTTTGGCCCCTTGAGGTGGGCATCCTTTGGTTAAGTCGGTTTGGCCGCATCTCCCTTCCCGGCGTCTGTATTGCGCCAGGGAGGCGATACAGCCGGGGAGGCGATTGAGACTTCGGACTGAAAAGATCGTTGTCTCTAGGCGACCTGTCATAGGACACGTCATTCAAAAATTATACCTGTTTTCAGTATGGAGTCCGTACCTCCATAAGCAAATTATCGGAACCCCCGCACCGGCCATATATGCGTATATATACCACCCTCAGGACCCCGCACCCACGGCGAACGGGCGCAGTGCGACGAAAAATCAACGACCGTGCGTGTGCAGCTTGGCACGCGGTCGCCAACCTTCACTCCAGGATGTTCGCTCTTCAAGGTTCGTGTTTTAAAATGCAGCTTCATCACGCTTCGATCCACGGGCATCGCCTCCGTGCTTCGTCATGCCCGCAACTGCGTGGGCTAACGACGGCCCCGAGCTGGCCTACTCGAAGCAGGCGCTCAAGAAGCAGTTCAACCGCGACGAGATCAAGCAGCTGCGCAGGGAGGAGAAGCGCATGCGCAAGGACATGATACACCAGCAGGTACAGAGGACATGGGAAAGACATGGGGAGTTGGCAGAGGACATGGGGAAGACATGGGCATATGGCAGGGGACATGGGGAAGACACCGCTTCTGCTAAATGCGTGAGCATAGGTCGAGCACGAGCGCAGCGAGTGTGGCGCAACGCAATTGTTAGAAGGCGGGTGTAGCTCAGCTGGTCAGAGCGCGAGTCATATGAGCTCGAGGTCAGCGGTTCAAGCCCGCCTACCCGCACGGTTTTTACCACTTAGATTGCTTGCATCTGTGCGCGGGCTGCGTCAGGTGCGAGCTGCTACTTCATGGTCACTGGTTGCTGGACGAGTCTGGCGGTCTGCCAGTCTCCGCGCGTAGCTCCCTCCCGACGCTAACTAGTACTCTCCCCAACCCTGCCACACACACACACACACACGCTCACCACCCTCTCCAATCAACCCCCTCTCCTTTCCTATCAACCCTCTCCCTGTCCCCTGTCCCATG